AAGGATAAGTCCATAATTGACTCTACCCTCCATATAACCACTCTTACAAAAAAACAGTTTATGGTTATAAATATTGGATCAAACAAAATTAATGCTTAAGCCCTTATTAAATTCCCTCTACCAAATATTTCCCTGATGTTCATATTAATATCGACATATGATTCAACATAGATCGATAATATCAAAGTTTATTTATAAGGAGATTTGATGGTGGGTATATAAGATTCGGCATGGCCGAATATAACACTCTTACTTGTTTTTAATTGTTAAATTTTAGATTTTTTAACTTTTCACCTTCAAACACAATAAACGTTTAATTTAGAACAGTATTTTGTTTATTTCCTCATCTTATTGTTTTTAATTTAAAATTCTTTAGATTTTTTCATTGTTGTTTTCTTTACTCTGGTTCATCTTTATTTTGTTTGCCTCATTAATTATTCATTTTCCGACAAGAGAACAAAACAACTTGTTTCAGAAAAAATAAAAACTGAACAAAATTCTAAATAAAAATTAAAAACAAATAAATTAGAATTTTTATGGGAGAAGACGGGCTTCAGGTTAGGTTGTTGTAGTTTGTGAAACATATAAAAAACGTAAGAAATTAATTAATAAATTAGTTGTTTGAAATTTTTTTACAATTTGGTATTTGTTTGTACATACTTTTTAAGTTTCTTAATTATTTAAATCAATACCCTTCGAATTAATTCCCTATAATAACTTTTATTATGACTTTATTCTCTGATTGAATAATCCTTCCATTTGAAATCACAATCAAGAATATAATTTACATAAAAGCAACTCCTTAACATAATCATGAACATTAAAAAGGCAATAACAATCATCTTAACATATCATATCATCCTTTTTAGCTAAAAATTATTATCCTTATCATATCATAACCAGCAAACTACTATATTCATAACTACACATCACCATAATCATCCTCATAATATTAAGCTAAGTGTGTGTCAAGTTCCTTTTCACCAAACAATTATTACACACAACGTTTGCTTTGATAATTTCTGTAGAAATCACATGGAATGGTAAGACAATAGACCCTTTTTCTATGTCCCCTTTTAGTTTTATTGTTTCGTTGTTAGTTTGTGTTTTAGTATGTAATTTTTAATATCTAATATAGACTATAAACATTAATGATTTCTTCCTGTTTGAATTTTTGAGATGATGATCCTTTTTTTTCTTTCAGGTCTATATATAAAATGTACATTGATGGCTACTGCTACGTATATACATATTTTTAGCTTTTATAAATAATATGAACACACAGATAACTATTTTTAAATGCCCATGCGAGGTTAATCTTAAAATTAGCCTTATTAAATCAGCTTTAAAATAAGACAAATAAAACTTTAAACTTTTGCCATTGCAAAGTGTAAAAATTCGCATCTATTTTTCTGTTTACTTTCTATACTTTATTCTAGATAAGGCTTCTGCCAACCATTTGCTTACCCACCCCTGTTAATAAAAAAACTATCAACTTGTTGCTTACCCTCTTAGCTGATTTCATGATGTTTCCTTTTAACTCAACACTTTATACAAACAAACAAACACATATTTAAAAAAATTTTTAAAATTCCCTTGAGCGCAGCAACCAATACACAACCAAAAGGGAAACTTTCCTCAAATAGAACAAAACTAAATGAGATTGAACAAACTTACAAACACTTTATAAAAGAAAAGCTTTTAAATAACTAACAAAAAATCTATTGTTTATCCCGAAATTAACAACATTTATATTTGAATTTGTGTATTTTTAGCCATTTGTCATTAAAAGTAATGAGTTAATATCAACGCTTTTCTTATTAATTGTTTAAATATGAAAACAATTCAATAAAAGTTAAAAATACACACTTATTCGTACGAGTAAGTATCTCAGAAGGTTAATGTCCTTATTATAAAAATACTTTTCAAAAGCTTTTAAAGGGTGACTAAAGCTTTCGGTTTACTTGCTTTCAAAAAATATACTGGGTTTTTATATGAACATTTCAATGCAGGGGAAATGTTTTTAAATGAATTATATTTATGGCCGAATTTGTAAAAGGAGAAATTTTATGACCGAATTTTAAAAACGACAAACAAATATATTTTTTCAGTTCTAGTTCAGTTCTAGTTCAGTTCTAGTTCAGTTCTAGTTAAGTTCTAGTTCAGTTCTAGTTGAGTTCTAGTTCAGTTCTAGTTCAGTTCTAGTTCAGTTCTAGTTCAGTTCTAGTTCAGTTCTAGTTCAGTTCTAGTTTTCTAGTTCAGTTCTAGTTCAGTTCTAGTTCAGTTCTAGTTCAGTTCTAGTTCAGTTCTAGTTCAGTTCTAGTTCAGTTCTAGTTCAGTTCTAGTTCAGTTCTAGTTCAGTTCTAGTTCAGTTCTAGTTCAGTTCTAGTTCAGTTCTAGTTCAGTTCTAGTTCAGTTCTAGTTCAGTTCTAGTTCAGTTCTAGTTCAGTTCTAGTTCAGTTCTAGTTCAGTTCTAGTTCAGTTCTAGTTCAGTTCTAGTTCAGTTCTAGTTCAGTTCTAGTTCAGTTCTAGTTCAGTTCTAGTTCAGTTCTAGTTCAGTTCTAGTTCAGTTCTAGTTCAGTTCTAGTTCAGTTCTAGTTCAGTTCTAGTTCAGTTCTAGTTCAGTTCTAGTTCAGTTCTAGTTCAGTTCTAGTTCAGTTCTAGTTCAGTTCTAGTTCAGTTCTAGTTCAGTTCTAGTTCAGTTCTAGTTCAGTTCTAGTTCAGTTCTAGTTCAGTTCTAGTTCAGTTCTAGTTCAGTTCTAGTTCAGTTCTAGTTCAGTTCTAGTTCAGTTCTAGTTCAGTTCTAGTTCAGTTCTAGTTCAGTTCTAGTTCAGTTCTAGTTCAGTTCTAGTTCAGTTCTAGTTCAGTTCTAGTTCAGTTCTAGTTCAGTTCTAGTTCAGTTCTAGTTCAGTTCTAGTTCAGTTCTAGTTCAGTTCTAGTTCAGTTCTAGTTCAGTTCTAGTTCAGTTCTAGTTCAGTTCTAGTTCAGTCTAGTTCAGTTCTAGTTCAGTTCTAGTTCAGTTCTAGTTCAGTTCTAGTTCAGTTCTAGTTCAGTTCTAGTTCAGTTCTAGTTCAGTTCTAGTTCAGTTCTAGTTCAGTTCTAGTTCAGTTCTAGTTCAGTTCTAGTTCAGTTCTAGTTCAGTTCTAGTTCAGTTCTAGTTCAGTTCTAGTTCAGTTCTAGTTCAGTTCTAGTTCAGTTCTAGTTCAGTTCTAGTTCAGTTCTAGTTCAGTTCTAGTTCAGTTCTAGTTCAGTTCTAGTTCAGTTCTAGTTCAGTTCTAGTTCAGTTCTAGTTCAGTTCTAGTTCAGTTCTAGTTCAGTTTAGTTTAGTTCAGTTCTAGTTCAGTTCTAGTTCAGTTCTAGTTCAGTTCTAGTTCAGTTCTAGTTCTTTCTAGTTCAGTTCTAGTTCAGTTCTAGTTCAGTTCTAGTTCAGTTCTAGTTCAGTTCTAGTTCAGTTCTAGTTCAGTTCTAGTTCAGTTCTAGTTCAGTTCTAGTTCAGTTCTAGTTCAGTTCTAGTTCAGTTCTAGTTCAGTTCTAGTTCAGTTCTAGTTCAGTTCTAGTTCAGTTCTAGTTCAGTTCTAGTTCAGTTCTAGTTCAGTTCTAGTTCAGTTCTAGTTCAGTTCTAGTTCAGTTCTAGTTCAGTTCTAGTTCAGTTCTAGTTCAGTTCTAGTCAGTTCTAGTCAGTTCTAGTTCAGTTCTAGTTCAGTTATATATGTGAAGTATTAAGAAAAAAATTTTAACTTTTTTGAAATATGATAAGGTTGTTATCTTTAGAATTTCTAAAAAAAAAACATCAATAAGAGTTTAGTTCTGCTACTTTGTACTATGACCTACACTAATCTTACCGCCTGATAAATGACCTACACCGAGTCAAACAACAACGAGAAACTGTAAACTGTTATACAAAACAAACAAAAAATGGTGGCCCAAACATATTACACAAAACAAGAGCATGTAAGCACAAACTCTTTAAACAACTTTTACTTTCCAGAAGTAAACAGAAAAGAGAAAAGCTTTTCCACATAAAATTAGAGAGTTATAACGAAGAAGAAAATAGTTAAAAGGATTTTATATATGAAAGGAAACAAAGAGAAAGAGAGATAGAAATTGACGAGAGAGTGCTTTAACGCTTAATAACACATACTTACTTGGCTATAAAAATCTATACTATATGATGGCGTTAAAAACGAAGTTAACGTTTTTTTGCTAGTTGCATATTGTGGTTCTAATGGTACGCACGTCCCTCTATTGTAATAAATGATTTTTTTCCTACATAACGCTTTTCTAACAAAAACATTTATTTCTTTGTCATCATTATCATCAGTTTTGGCATTATTTTTATGTTGATGACAAACTTAAATGTCAATTTGTTTTGTATTGTGTGGTTTTAGGCTGCAAAATATAAAAAAATGATTATTTATAAAAAATTATAAATGGAAATAAAAAATTTATGTGTAAAAGTTAAAATAATAAGCAAATATATTATTGAAAAAAAATATATATTTTTACTAAAAAAGTTTATATAAAATAAATTTTAATAAAAAAGCAAATATTTTACGAAAAAAATGCTTTAATGTTTTTCGCTTGAATTGAAGTCACAACAGTAAAAAAAAGGAAGAAAAAAAGATAAAGTGATTAATGATTGAAAAGCAGATAATATAAATATTGAAAAAATGGCATTAAAAAGAAATTTAAATAAATTTTAAATGAAAAATTAAATTAAAATATTCAAAGAATTTAAGCTTAATACAATAATTGAAACTGCAAAAAATTTGTTTATTTATGAAAATAAAATTACAAAAAAATCGGGTTTAATTATGTGGTTTACCGTTAATAATTTACTTTAGAATTTTCTAACATAAAAACTAATTATATTATCTAAATATCATGTAATATGTTAAATATGTGTGTGTGTGTTACAAAAGTATATATAAATGTGTCATGTGTGTTTTATGCTCGAGTCCTTGTTCATACGTAGTCCAGTAAAATTGGTGGAAATTAATATTAACTAACGAATTTTTTTAATAAACAAATTATATCGGCAAAGATTAATATTAATCAGATATTTGAGGTAAAAGTTCACAAAAATCATTATTTTCTTCGAATATTTTACAAGTGTTTTATATATGGCATATTATAGCCCCTAGTTAAGACTACTAGTCTTCGCCATTTTGTATTTAACTATTTAAAATACCTCCTCAAATTCCTAATTTAACTGGACTAATAGTATAAAATGTGTATTTTCACAGGACTCCTAAGGTTATGTAAATTTTAATTGCACTTCCCTATCAACTCCTATTTATGTGTCTGTGCGTGTGTGTAATATGTTTTCATAACTACCTACATGTGTGCGAAATTGTGTTTTTTGTAACTCCCTTGTTGTCGTTATCCAAAGAGGCGAGGACTCAACATACACGGTTTGTTAAGTAAGTTTAAAAATTTAACTACTAGTTTCAACCTTGTTGGTTTGTTTGTTGTTTTCTTTTTATCTAAAACGACAATATATAACCATAATTTTTTAATGGCTGTTAAGCATAGAAAATAAACCACTAGACTATGAAAATTTGTTATAATGCTTACAATTTATTATTAATAAAAATTCTACTTGTAGAGGGGTTGGTAAAAGCTGGCATCTACTAAAAGATTAGAGTTGGCTAAATGTATTTGCATTTTAAAGAGGATTTATTTGTATTCTAACTGGAGGGAAATTATGAGAAAACTTTTTAAAATATTATTTCTGTATAAATTTATTTAATTCAGTTTTACAGACTTCTTTGAAGTTACCAGATGAAATAATTTTAAATTCATTAAATTTTCTCATTATTTTCAAAATGTTAATAAGTTAAACAATTGATCTTAAATAAAAACAAAACTGAATCATCAGCTTAAAAATTTGTTCGAAATTTTTGAAAATAACTAAATATTTTCATTATGAACGGAATAATAATCCTGTTAAGAATTTGTATTTTGGACTGGCTCTGATGAGAAAAATGATTTTGGCAAAAATTTTAAACCATATTTATATTTTTGGATTTTAACAGCAAATAATTAAGCAGACGGCAGTTTTATAACTCCAATTTCAAATTTGAAAATTTGTAGAAAACCTCTAAATGCTTCATAGACTACATATAAATGAATTAAATAGTAAACAAGTTAGAATGGATAGTCGGGTATGGCCGACCATATGATACCCTAAAGCATTTTTCCGAAATATTTTAACAATTTGTTACCAAAAAAAAAAAAAAATGATTCTCTGAAAGAGGGGTTATAAGGGGGCTTGGTTTACGATGACATTGAAGTTAATAATTTAATTGTGATAGTAGTGTGTAGAGGTGAATTGCCACCAACAAGTCATTTTCTGAAGGGGACCTATCATTACGAAAATCGGCAGTATCATTTAAACAAAATTTAACAATATTATAAGGTCAAAAGCCCCATTCGAACGGTACGGTTGTATAGGGGCTAAAATAAAGGACCGATTTAAATCACTTTCAATAGGCTTCGTCCTTAGGTCAAAAGAAGAGTATGTGCCAAATTTCATCAAATTATCTTGAAAATTGCGAACTGTAGCATGCGCACAAGGTTTACATGGACACACAGACGGACATAGCTAAATCTACTCAGAAAGTGATTCTGAGCCGATTGGTATACTTTGAAGTGGGTGTAGGACCAATATTTTTGTGTGTTACAAACATCAGCACAAGCGCATAATACCCTCCTCACTATAGTGGTGTAGGGTAAAAAAAATGAAGTCGCAGATTAGCAGTACCTACTATTTGAATTTGGAAAATTTCAAAGAAAACGTTTTTTTTTGTAATATTTTTGAAAAACTGTTATACATTTTATACAAAACATTTTCAGAATATGAAATTTCAGATAACGGAAAACATGTGTTTGAAGTTTTAGAATCAGAATCATCAAGGCTAATATAAAACTTAATTGTGCTGATTTTTGTCGAGATACGAGTATATTAAACATAATTATGAGCTCAAAAACTCTATTCGGGGGATTCTGTTATATATGGGCTTGGTGAAGATGATCTTGTACAAATTTTCTAGTTTAAAAGGACGGAGGAAAAATAAGGTGTCAATGTTTTCAACTGAAATTGAAGTTTAATTGATTTTAAGATACCGTTTCTCAAAATTTGTATCTTGGCGTCAATATTTGGTGAGCTGGATCAAAGGATAAAAAGGTCCTTTTTTGAGGTTTATATGATTTTTTCATATTTCTTCCAAAGGAATGATATGCAATTTTGGTATCATAAGATAGGTCCTTGAGAGACGCTTTCAATGGCATATTTTTGTGAAACAGCAAAAATAATCGAAATATTCAAGTTTTTCGAAAATTTTCAGATTTTTTACATTTTAATACAGATGAATTACATAATAATTTTCCGTAAAATTTACCGAAATGGGTTTTTCCATTTGTCAAAATTCAATCTAGATCAAATTTTATTTGAATTTATCGAAGCCTATGTACGCTACCAATACATTCTAAAATAACATAAACAACATACAAACCGTTATCAACAATGCAAGCGTAACAAACAAATAGATGTTTAGGATAAATTATGTTAATATTTTAGTTAAACTGAAAAATTTTATTTATAATGGAATTAAATTACAAAGTGGTATATACTAGAGCCCTGCATGAGTGACTTAAATAATAAATTAAAACATTTGATTTTTTTCAAACACTGTGTTTGACTTACTCATTGTTACTCAGTGAATGAAATGAATGTTATATTTGAAAATAAGGAGTGTTAGACAATACTCAGTTTAAACGATACAACTAATGAGAGTGTTTGTGTGATTCAAGTCAAGTACTATACAGTGAGTGAATCGAGTGAAAGCAAAAAAAATAATTAGGTTCGACCAATTAACAAATTTTTCGAATATTACTTCGAATTTTCCAACTTAGTTTCGAATATTCGAATACAATATTATGTTGTCATCAATTGTACTCAAGACTACCAAATTTCAGTGCATTCGGGCCACGGGAACTAGTTTTAACAGCATTCAAAATGTTCACCATTTATTCAAGAAAAAGTTTGAATCGATTCCAACAATCTATTTTGTATTGTTTTAACATAAACAAATTGTTTACTCACTCGATTTGAATGTAGTTGCACATTCACTTGATAGTACTCACAACGTTAGAGTATTACAAATCTTTGTAAATACTACTCCAAACAAACAACGAGTTGTGTGCAAAACTATGAGTCACTCATTGTTTGCAGCAAATAGAGTTACCCATGCAGGGCTCTACAATATACCAATTTAAGGCTAATAAAATTGCGCTTCTACTGATATACATATTATATATTATAGCTTAGATAAAAATAGCTAGCACAATACCGGAGAGAAAAAAGGGTGTAAAATGTTTAAGTAAAATACAAAACATATCGATTTTCGAAAAATTTTAAAAAATAATAATTTCAATTAATTACATTAAATAATTCTATGTAAAAATTTTCAAAATCTAAAAATTATCAAAAAGAAATTAAAACATTTGTAATAATTTAGGAGGCGTATACAAAATTGTGTTATGTCATTGACATTTTCTTTCAAAAACCTTTCATATGATACCAAACCTATTTATCCTTTGATCCAGCTCATGAAATATTAACGTCAGGACAAAAATTTTGAGAATTGGTATATTAGAATGAACTAAATTTTCATTTTCGGTGGGAACATCAGTAACTTCCTTTTTTTGTGGCCACTTTATTAATTATACATTACTAACATCGCCACAAACCCAATGTACTCTGCCCACTAAAGCGGTGTAGGGTATACAAATCATTTGATTTGATTTGATTTCTGTCCATATTATTCTGTTTATATATTCTGAGTATAAAATCTGTGTGACTTTGTTTTGACATAGAATTTTCATTATCGTTTAAAATTCGCCTATCGTATTTCTATTCTTTAAGAGATTTCCCAAATAGTTCCTTTTTCGTTCTAATCGTTTTTCTTTACACAGTTTTTTGAATTCGATTGAGAGGATTTTCTCTGGAATACATATAGTGAATGTTGAAAAGTTAAATTAATACAAAAACTTTGAACGATAACAAAGTATGGCTCTTCAAATTCTCTGACCGAAATCCTACTAACTGATCTAATAGATTGCATATGTACCCAGCAAAAACTTTCATTAAAAAAGCAACGACTTAAAAATGTTTAAAATTAATGAATACGATCCTGTGTCTGGTGTTCGTTAGTCCACTGTCGTAGTCACAAAATATTACAAAACTTTCGTATGCATATGATTACATATAAGTCATTATTAGAGTATTTTAAAGTAATACAGACAGTATATGTATGTATGTGGTAGTCATTGAACAACTGATTATGAAGTTTTTGCTGGATAATTTATATTCAGGAAAACCACAAATGAGCTTTCATATTATATTTTTAATACTTTTCTCATGAACTTTAGCTTTAATTGTATAATATATTTAATAGATCATTTAAAAAATTTCCTGAAACGAAAAGCACAACTTTTTTTAATAACATATTGCACATAAAACTTTATTAGAAAATTCTGTGTAAATAAATATTGGATTTCGCGGAAAACAACACAATAATAATAGAACAAATGGTGGTTAATACCAAGCAGAGGTAATTAATTAAGCATTAATAAAACTGAATTAAATTAATAAAAAAAATGAATAAAAATGTAACGATTATTTGACATTTAAAAAATTCGCAGAAATACAATACTAAATGTACAATACTAAAATGTAAGAAATATCAGGACTTTAGTATTATTGTACTGTTAAACAATTGGCAAACTTAAGGCTGATACCTTAAGCTAAAGTAACAAAAAATTGTACTTTAAAGTACAAAGATAGCAAATTTAAATAAAACCTAAAATTTTCTTAAAAAGCATTAAAAATCTGCAAAAAAACCTTCTATCACATTAATATTAAAGCAAATTTAATTTTTATTTGAAATGTCATTAGATTTTCAAATAATTTTCTCTATCTAACTCAAAATGTCAAAAAATGTTATTATTCCTGGTAAAAGAATATACGAAAAAAAACTTGTGAGGAAAAAAATTAAAAAAAAATTGTTTTCTTATGATGAAATGTTAAATCAACAAACTTGATCTATACTTTGTTACCCCCTCCACAAAAACTAAAAAGAAATATTTGAATACAATGAAAATTTTTAATATCTTTGTATAAGTTTAAACTTTTCGTCAATACAACAAAAATTTGTCACAAAAGGGAAGTTGGTAAGAAAGCTTGAGAACATAAAGAAAAGGGTTAGAAAATCCAATAAATGTATAAAAATTCTAGGAAGAAGGCATGTGAAAAAAAAAATGTTCCTGATAAAAAGATAAAACATGCTAGTTGCCAACTTTTTTTTCTTATTTCAAAAGTATGATAACGATAAAATAAATACATGATGGATAAAATCTG